TTCAATCCCCAGCGACACAAAAATGAAACAGCAAAAAATAGACAATATTAGCCTGGCACAGAAGAGCACGCCTGTAATCCCAGCAACTCGGGAGGTTGAGGCAGGAGAATCGCAAGTCTAAGGCCAGCCTCAGCAATTTAGCGAGGCCCTAAGCAACTTAGCAAGACCTCTGCCTCAAAAAATAAAAAGGGCAGGGATGGGGCTGGGATTTGGCTCAAGCAGTAGCGTGCTCGCCTGGTGAGCCCGGGTTCGATCCTCAGCACCACATACCAACAAAGATGTTGTGTCCGCCGAGAACTAAAAAATAAATATTAAAAAATTCTCTCTCTCTCTCTCTCTCTCTCTCTCTCTAAAAAAGAAAGAGAGAGAGCAGGGATGCAGCTCAGTGATAAAATGCCCCTGGGTTCCATCATTCCCCCCCCCCACCGCTACAAATCCTATAAGTGCTTCAGTATACTGAGTGCCACCGCACATCAAGGACTCAATAAAAGTGTCCCTGGCTTGCAAAGAAGTGATATTAGCCCAATTATATTGTCTTWCACAAATATGTAACCAATCCTATCATTATGTTCAACTCTAATGCACCAATAAAAAATAGGAACAAAGTGCTCCTGGTAGTTTCCAATAAAAAGATGTCAATGGAGATATACCCACCAATGAATTTACTATCAGCACCTGAGATACCTGGACAAAAGCTGAAGCAGCCCACTGAGGACCACGGTAGAGCTGAGGCTGTGGTAACTGGCTGCAATCCCCCACTTGTAGCCATATGACACTTTTTAAAGGTTTTGTCAGAGCCAACTTGCCCAAGCCTGTGGTCACAAAATGTCCCTTCAAGGACCCAGGCAACCAGACACAGTTTGCTAACTTGAAATTCCAAGGTGGGGAAAGGTAGAGCAGAATAAGCACGTGGCATATTTTGTCCCAAAGAGTCAGATCCAGAGGCACAGCACATGAGGTGGCCAAAGAGGACACCTGTGTGTCCCCACTGCCCTGCTGCTCTGGGCTCAGAGTCCGGCTCTGAGGGAAGAGTGCACTTTCTAGGTGGAGAAGAAGCCAAAATTTCCMAGGAGATCCCAAGACATCAAAGCCTTCTTCCACTTGAGGTCTCTTGTCTCTCCGGGCCTCAAAGACAGGGAACACATCTGAACACACCCCTGTGGTTCCTTGTGACAGACTGATTGAGCCAAAAGCATGATGCAAATTCCAGAACCTTCCTTAAACTTCCAAACATCTGCCACCCTGGCCAACGTCAGAGCAGCTTCTGGACCTACCGAGCTCTGGGATGATCCATCTTCTCCCTACAGACTCGGGGGAGCCAAACTGGGAGCCGGCATTTGGCTTAAATATCAGCACAACTTGGTTACACCTGACCAACGGTCGCTGATACCCAGAGAGAAAACAGAGCAGTTACCCAGAGGCAGGGTGCCCTAGAGTCCCACAAGCCTGAAGTGGACCCAACCAAACTCCAGCACCTACCCAGGGCTCCAGCTCACRGGGCTCTCAGACGACACTTCCCAAACCTGAAAAGAGGAGGCAATCTATCTTTCAAGAATTGTGTAAGAGCCAGGTGCAGTGGCGCATGCCCGGAATCCCAGGGGCTCAGGAAGCTGAAGTAGGAGGATCACAAGTTCAAAGCCAGCCTCAGCCACTTAGCAAAGCCCTAAGCAACTTAGCAAGGCCCTGTCTCAAAATAAAAAAAAAAAATAAAAAGGGCTGGGGGTGTGGCTCAGTGGTTAGAGCCCCTGGGTCCAATCCCCAACATCCCCCACACACACACAAAAAAAAAAATTGTGAAAGGACAGAATATATCATATTTCAAAAATAACGGCTGACAAAAGAAAAAAATCTAGCTGGGGTTGTGGCTCAGTGATAGAGGGCTCGCCTAGCATGTGGGAGCCCTAGGTTCCATCCCCAGCACTGCCCAAAAGAAAAAGTCTAAGATGTTCTAAGTCTAATCACCAAGGTTCACAAGATGGAGGTGAAAGAGGTGAGGACGTTTATCAGACAGCACCTTTGGGCAAACTAACCAAAGACTCTCTCACCTTCTAGAATGTCTGAGGATGACTGGGTCCTG